ATCCTTGTTTTCTAAGAATTGTTTTTCGCTGCGATTTATCCGTCACTATGCTACATTTTGCTGAAAAATGCGACCTCTTACAGAAACTGCATGTAACCTTGTTGCCGTTGTTTACAAAAACAGATGTAGTCGGTAAATTTTGCGTACGGGTTTTCTGATAAGAAATGTTTGAAATGTTTGAAAAATGTGATTGCAACAGGGCTACATGTACAGATTTACACTTTGGCATGCACATCTATTTGCAACAGTGTGTCTGTTGTGATTGAATGTATAGGCATGCTTTACTATTTATTTTTCGCCCCGATCCGGGGTCGATAGATTCTCTCTGTCCTTTGGCAAAATCACAAAGCCTCCGAAACAGACGAAGACATGATTGACGGCCTCTTGATAGTTCTAGCCCACACGAACTTCAATGTTGGATTATAAACGCCCCCATGTTTAGCTCGACGGGCAAATCACTCCAAGAAAATCTTGTACACCTTTTATGAAAATCCTATTGTTTTATCTGAAAATCCCTAGAAATCCTTAAGTTTTGGTAAAATCTTGTACGCAATTTTCAAGAGTGAATTGCCCCTCGGTCTAGCTCTACAGGGTTTTGTTGCCCCCCTCTGATTCCCTCTATCTTAGCCACTGCCGCCAGAGCAGTTTACCCAGCATATCTATTTTAGCAACCAAAATAGCCCCCAGAGCAGCCACCATTTTCAAAAATTTCTGGGGGAGCATTCCCCATACCCCTTTAGGCATGCTTTACTTTTTATTTTTCGTCCCGATCCGGGGTCGATAGATTCTCTCTGTCCGTTGGCAAAATCACAAAGCCTCCGAAACAGACGAAGACATGATTGACGGCCTCTTGATAGTTCTAGCCCACACGAACTTCAGAGAGTTGGATTATAAACGCCCTCATGTGTTTTTTACTAAAGAATTAATTCACGTTTCCGCTTGTTACTGGGTTCTTCTGCTTGTTCCTGGGTTGTTCCGCTTGTTACTGGGTTGTTACTGGGTTGTTCCGCTTGTTACTAGGTTGTTCCGCTTGTTCCTCGTTTTAGCAACGTCGTCGGTGTATAGAGATTTGACGTCTAGCGTGACCAGCCACGAGTTTGGAGGAATGCTAGTGTGTATTTATAGACAACAGGATTTCGAAGATAATTAATAGAGAGTGCGGGAAAGTCAGGGGTCGTGAGTTCGAGCCTCGCTCGGGTCGGTTATTTTCCCGCACTCTCTATTAACTAGTGTGTATTTCGAATATTTGTTGTAAAAAATGAGTGGTGTCTTTTATATACGAGGCACTTTCCTCGACTATCGGTCTAAGATAGTGATCAAGATATGACGAGAGTTTCTCCGTAGGGGAGCCGCAACCCGACAGTATAGGCCTCCCTGGGATGCCCTCCTTGTGAATTTTTGGTAACAAATAGAATACCGGTGTTCGAACCTTCGTGTTAGGTGTAAGATATTCGAAAAGTGCTTCATCAATACGGTAGTTGTGGAGGAGATGTGTTAAAAAAGTTGTGATCTCGGCACATTTCCGCTTGTTTCTGGGTTCTCTGCTTGTTCCTGGGTTGTTCCGCTTGTTACTGGGTTGTTACTGGGTTGTTCCGCTTGTTCCACGTTTTAGCAACGTCGAGGATTTCAAGCTTCTGACGCTAATATCGATTTCATCAACTAATTTTCTGAGGGTCGCCACGTCCCTTACCGAAAATACAGTTGGGAGGTTCATAAGAGCTTCCATGTGCGAGTTTAGGATTATTTGCCTTTGTGCAAATCGGTCCCTTAAACAATCATGTTGGTAGCGCTCGGGGTCAAATAGGGAACGGGGTCAAATAGGGAAATCGGGGTCATATAGGGAAATCGTTAATAACTCCAAAAATTGGACAGATATCTTGAAACAAACCTCAGAATCGGATTCGGCATGCCTCAATCTACCTTTTAGATGCTTATTTAATTCAACTACGGCAATTTTAACAGAATAAATGATAATGTTTTTCTTCTACGTTAGCTTGATGCGTGTCTCCTCCGTAGTGACGGGAGCAAATACGCAAAACACGTTGAAAAGCATCGATTTAACTAAAAATAAATAGCAAAAGGTAGAAATATCAATATAAAATACACATTCTCTTCATATGCAAGTATGTATTAACCAATGTAATTATGTCAGGAGACATTTAAGCAAATTACAACAATTATTCACTCATTTCTACACAATGAACTTGGTGCTCTTCTATATACTTAGGCAAGCTCAGTTGAAAGCAGTTGAACTTAGGGGAGAACTTCCAAAGAAAGGAACTTCCATCCTCAGTCTCAATATCCCTTAATACTTCCCTTGTAGCCCTTAGTTCAAGTAGCCCTTCCAGTCGATCAATTTTGTTTTACTAACTAATAACTCACAGTGTTCTTTGTCTGTCACACTTAGAATCATGTGTTCTTAGAATCATGTGATCAACACCTCTTTGTTTTAATTTTTCTAGAATATGAAACACAACCAGAGTGACACACAAATAATACCTAGAGTATTATATGTATATATACCATATGGAGAGGGAGAAACAGAAACTTACAACTAGATTCTCCCGCACTATACGAAATACTGCAGATTACATCAAATTTGCTAAACGTATGTTCACGTTTATTTTCAGTTTGGATATGACCAATTCTATAATGCAAAATCAGTGATGGACAAGTGCACAATCTTTAGTGATAGAACTCTTGTAAACCGCCGAAATGTTATCACTGATGTGTCAAAGCGCTTTGATGCAAATAAGAAGTTTTTTTTGCTTGAAGTCCATGCAAGGATTGTTGCTGCATTTTTAGTGATTCTTGGCATAAAAGATATAGAAGAGCAACCATCAGAGGGGATCTTATCAAAATATATTTGTAGCAAATTCAAAAAAGAGAGAATATTTCCATGGATTATGCATCAGGGTTGTAGATGAATATGTATTGAATGCCGATAAAAATGGTGATCTCTTGCAAAAACAAGCATAAATTGGCTCAAATCAGTGAATCCCAAAACACAAGATGGCCGCTTTGCTTGTAGAGAAGTGGGTTGTACAAGGCTTTTACTTTTGACGGCAAGGCAAGATTGGATAATGAAAAATCACATTGCCTACATAAAGGAAGAAATGAAATTGAAAAAAAGAACAGTGATATTGATGCTATGTTTAACTACCAAAGATCACTTTTGGATTATGGTGCTATTGTTCTAAACTTCTACGATGCCATTTCAGAGAGAGATGGTGCACGACTTGTAAGGTGCTGGAAATTTATGCTCCCATATTTGAAAGCTGATGGTCCGAGGAGTCAAAAGTATGCTCTTGAAGCACTTTACCTCATTATTCAAGATTAGGCTTTTCTTTCCCAGAAGGATGCTCATAGATTGATCTGGAATAGATTCCAAAAATCCATAGAGAGTTGTGGTAGCAATATACCCATGGATATGATGATAGAGCACAACAAGAATTTCATGAAGAATGCAATAAGGTCCCTGGGACCAAACAGCACAAATAAAAAAGCAGTTGATCGGATTGCAAAAGCTGTGACAGTAACAAAAAAATTAGTGGACAACTTGACCGTAGGTGTGATATCTATAAAGGGTCAGGTAAGCACACTGAAACATCAGCAAAGAAGGACTTGAAGAAAATTGCTCAAAAAATTATGACAAGTGGTAGAACATAGAAGGTATTTGATAGAATGCAAGAATCTCTTCTAGAAGACTTTGATTTGCATGGTATGTATGCTTGGATAATGAATGCAGCACAAAAAGAAGATAATGATGAACAGGGCAAGAAGATGACTTTGAATGCATCACAAAGCATAATTGTGTAGCTGCAGAAATATAACTTTCTTAAAATGCAACCAAAATATTAAAGGAAGTATGATAGAGATCAGATTGTAAAAATGGGGAACAATTTTGTTTCTTTGCTTAATAACATAGAAGATTTTGTGTTTGTGTTTGTGTTGTCAGTTATTAGTTTTAACCCTATCCAGACTAGGGGGAGGGGGGGGGGCACAAAGTTGGATTTTCTTAGATAACTCCAGGAGTTTCAAAGCAATACCCCTCAGACCTCCTGACTTTTAGTTTTAACCTGTCTGACACATGTTCATATAAAAATAAATTTTTTTTTTGTTAATCTGGGGGTTGTGTAGGGGCGTTTTCAAAACTAGTCAAGTAAAAAAAGTTTAATCTGCCACGGATTCGCAACAAAAGTAGATATATTGATGAAAATTAGTATCTAGGCATTAATTTGTCCTCTCTTCATGATTCTGACCAGAAAATATAAATTCAACATCCTTTTCTATGATTTTTCTGCTGCGCATGCGCACACATGTGTTGACATATTTATAGGTTTTACATTAATAAAACTGCAAGTTTAGATTAATTTGCCTGCTAAGGCATTAAAAGTAAACTTAAACATGACATTTGGTTGTATCGATCATTTAGTTATATAGAAAGAACTATAGCCAAATACAAAATATGTTGAGTTCTTGTGTTGGAACGTTAATAATTTTGAGAAATAATATTAAAATTGTGTCGTTCTGATTGTTTCTATTAGAAAATGCATCAAATTTGCTTATTTTAAAATCTTAGTTCGATGCTTTGGATTTTATGAATATTTTAAGATTTTCTAAAGTTTTCTAAATTTTTGCTCCATCCGGCCACCATTATGATGACATCATCGTTAAACAACGTGACTTTAAAATTGAAGAAAAGTACTAAAATGTGAAGAATAGATAAGAGTACCATCCAAACAAAGTTCATTGTCCTAGCTAGAGGGACAAATAAATTGAGGAGGGAGGCACTTTGTGCCCCCCCCCT